AAGTTATGACGCAAAGTTGCCTCAGTGACACCACCCTTTTTCCAGTGACTCCGCCTCCAGATTCCGCCTTCAAAGCCTCGCCTTCCAGCCAAAAGCTGTGCTACCGCACAAGTAGCATGAACAGGAGAAGCTCCTGCGGAGTCGCACGGCCTATCAGGAAGAATGAACCGACCGGATGCGATTCAACACGCGGTCTTTCGGCCTTTTACCCGTACAACTGTCTGAGACCGGAGTGGTCGTATTAGGGGCGTTTCCGACGTTCCCTTTGGCATTTTCTCTTTACAGGCGAGTCACTTGGCAAGTTGTCTCCCTTATTTCAGCATTATTGAATAATCTTGATCGCGGACCGTGCTTTCAAGAGGTAATTCAACAATTGAGACGGGGTATGCCAGTCCAACATCTACAGCTGCAACCGAGCTCCTTTCATACTGCGTGGGACCACGACCTTATGGTTCCTCTCATCTCCTAACACGCCCTTGTATCCTCTCCCTATTTGTTTCTGATTCCTAGCCCAGCGCAGCAGTGTCTTCTTTTCGAACGCCAATTTGGCGCTTTATTTGGACTTCCGGGCCAGGTTTACCCACTGCTTTCTTCACACATAAGTACACTCCATATCCCAGAAACGAAGCGGGCGTGGGTGCAAATATAGGGATTTCCCGCGCAAAACGCACTGTAGGCCTGGAGTATGCAGCCACGCCCTCTTCATCTGCGGGGTACGGGTGTAATTAGCATCCGGAAATTGATAGGGTCACAAGGCTCACCAATCGTAATCCAAGAACGTGCATGGGAAACTTATAAAATATGAATCTAGTCTTGTCTCTGAAGGTAGAATCATCCTCATTCCTTCTTGCCCTGTAATATGAACATCGTGAAGTGCAAAAAGCGCCAAATGTCCTCGGTCCCTCCTTGGTCCCGACAATCGCTTTGGACCAGTTAAATGGCTTTCGCAACTGTCACAACAATCTCTATCGACTGGGTTCAACAGATTACATTTGGAGCAGTTTTTGAAGCAGTGGTACGACTTTCCTCTCGATCACGTGAAAACGAGCAGGTTGTCAAGACAACAATAGCTTATTACAGTTTGGTGACTCGAACCAATAATATCCCGTCGAAAAATGAGCCACCGATTGGCGGTGCTAGGCATCGTACCATCGTAATGGCTCTTGAGGTGCACTTACAGGCTGCACTTTATTTTTCTCGTCAACAAGTCGTTGCATCGGGAAATGAGGCTCTTGTGCCAAACGACATAAGAACGAGATTATCGAGTAAAAAATGGCCTGAGAATAACGCACTGGGTATTAAGTTTCTCGGCAGCGCAATAGCCAACTTAGCAAGAGCCCTTATAATTCAAAAGTAGAGGCCAGGCTGAGAGACTCAACGGCGAAAAGGCTAAAGAGTCCCAGAGGTCAAGTGTTCTCTTTAGGATGCGCCACGCACTCGAGCTTTCACTCGAGCACGCACTCGAGCTTTCACTCGAGCCTTCGAATATGTGACCCCAGTTCGTTCCGTGCTTGCTCTAGGGCAGCATTCCAATAGTGGCACGTGGTCCGGCTAAATGTCTCCATCGTCGAGCCCGATTCCATTTGAAATACCACTCTGAACGGAAGCAGAATGGCAGGGCGCATTCTCAAATAATGTTGAGCAACACTGTAGGCTTTTTCGAATCTGCTGAGAGGGTAAGAGGGGCACTGATGGCGTAACGGGTAGTGCCGCCTTGCCCGGGCAGCTTGAGGTGCGGTCTGAACCCCACTTGGAATCAGACTCTTACTCGTAACTCAGCATTCTTGCGATAACTTAAAGGGCGAAGTGCAGCATAAAACGCCAGATCTCTTATGTAAAATAACTGGAGACGTTTTTCTTAGCTCCCCAAACATTGAGTTGCCAACCGATATATAGTAATAGTCAGCGTCTGCAGTCCTCTTTACAGAGCAGAAAAGTCTCGCCCCGTGAACCTGCTCAACAAGGATGGAAGTGTGAGTAATCCGGGAAGAATTAGATCTCTACACCTTACATGTAGGAGCGCTACTACCTCAACGCTCACAACGCCATCACTGAGGATTTATTTCTTGATAGTTCCTTCGCCATTCGGGTATGTTTTATGAACCGATGCTGCGCAGTGGTAAGTTGCCCTGTTTGCCAGGTACGTAATCCTATGTCAGGCACCGGACCAGATTCTGCTTAAACAGAGTACAACATCGCTGGGAGAATCCCATCAGGGGCGAAGAGGTCGTACCAGATGAGAAAATTTCGGGAGGAGCAGGGGGGGGGGGGGCAGGGGGAATCACACATCACGATGGTGTACTCTCTACCCTAGGAAACTGGCACTTCGGTACCGGAGCCTTCTCGTCCAAAAAGATAAAGCACTGTTTCAAGCGTGGTATAGATGCAAGCGCATCCGAAGACACTACGATTTTGAGTGGAAATCGAATGCGTGAAGCTTCCCATTAAAAGACTGATCAACTGTGGATAAATGGCTTTTGCCGTGTTATGAAACATCACAGGTTCGCTTGTCTCTCAGTTATGGTAGCAGCGGAGGATACCTACGGATATCAACAGGGAAAAGAGGGGGTTGACCGTCGGAACAGTGGCATGACAGAACTGTGTCCCATTAGGCGTCAACACACAGCGGAGCGGACGTGTTCGCGACGTGGCCAACTTCTTTACAAAAGCTTTGCATAAAGACAATAAAACTTCGGCTTATCAAGCTAAGAGAAGCTCTCATGGTAGCAGCAGGGAGGGAAATAAATGTCACTTCCGCCTCTCAAGAATTTGATGACCACGTGAGTAGGACAGTTGGTTAAACAATCAGTTCCCTATACAGTTTGATTTCGCATATTAGGCATTGGGGCTGCCCCGGGGAGTGGTGAGGCGTTCTGCAGCATAGCGCTATGCTCTTTTTGCTATTCTCTTAATGTACAGGTCTCATGTTAGCAAGACCTGAGGGTGCTGTCGAGTGTGAACGAAGCTCACTCTGTTGCAAAGCATTCCAGGAATTTCCAAGTAGAGAGCAGTTCTCAAAATCAGCTAAAACATAGTCAGGCTGTTGAGTTTCCTTCTGATTACTTAACTTGCCAGAGAATTTTGCAGACGCTTTCCTCTCCTAGTTAACTGAGGGATTTTACCACTCTGTCATGCGCCCCAGCCAGCAAACAAGCATGCGGCATAATTCAGGCACAGCGTGAGCAGCCTGCTCTCCTATCACTTCTTCATTACCCACTTACCATATCTTCTGTTCAGTGAGCACGCACAATTTGTGAACCCCTACTCAAGATTCCTCTTCACAGGCGACCCTGAATTGACAGCAGAGTTCTCAAATTATTCAATTTTCACCTGATTTGAACGATGTTCCCCCATGAGTCCAATTCGATTACCGGTTTCTCTCTTGATGTCGAGTAAAGCGCATCGCTACCAGTTCCGGTTTCAACGTAGTGGTGTTCTATCTGAAAGAGTTTTCAATCGTTGAGAAGTTTTTTCACATTCCAGACAGCCTCTTTCTGGAAGGCCCACGGCTGCAAACAAAATGAACATGGTCCCTTCAGAGAGGTGAGCTGTCGTTTACCAGCCAGACAGAAGCTTCCACGTAGTAAAGTCTCTTTTTGCAAGAGCGAAAAGCACACACTGTCTGAGTACACATTAAGAGGGCATCCGTTCACGTGCTTCGCTTGTGAACAGTAAATCAACGGGAAACTCATTTGGCTCGTCTAACAATGCCATAAGTCGCTGAGATGCTGCTTTCGCAAAAAAAGGAATAAAAACGAAACCTAATGGTAACAGCCACCATTTCTTGGCTCTTAAACATCCTTCTTTTTTATGTTTTCGCACAGAGCACGAACGAAGTAGCCCTGAAAATCATACCTTTCTTTCGGATAGGAGCTTGAAGGCGTCAGGGTCTTCGCTCCTCAGTTGCGCTGCACACTCAAAACCATCGACTAGTACTGTATCACCTCCTTGTTCAGCTGCATGAAGGCAATGAAATACCTGCATAACAGCACCATCACAGTATTTCACAGCAACTTTCGACGAATCCCAAACATGCCGTTTTTTGTAACATAACAGTACAAAGGCGCATATGAATGGCTTTGCATCTCGTGCGCCTTAATCTGACCTGTCTTGAATATGGTTCGCATCACAATGCCTACACTTTTATGTCATGTGAATTCATCTGACTTAAATCGACCTTCCTTCGGCCAAGAATTTTCTCTCCTTTATTCAAGACACACTTTTTGTTTCCCTGGACCTCTTACCAACTTCATTCATGACACTTTTGAGGACCGGCGTGACACCGACCGAACTCCGTGTTCGGCAGGCTAGGCGGGTGATGGGACGAGGAGTGCCCACAGTCTATTACATTTGGCTTCTGCCTGCGCTGCGACTAGGGGAGGAGAGTTGATGTCGTCCGCATATCCGACCGCGACGCTGTCAGGCAGCGTGCAGTGGAGTTACTCACGGACTCCGTCTTCGAACCAATAGTGGCTGCTATTATATAATAAAATAAAAGAAAATAAGTAAAGTATATTACAGCCAGTGGTGTTAAGACGCCGGAGCGTGGGTTTCGCTCCACGCCTCCTTACAACGCTCCCATATTCAATTGTAACGATAAAGCGCGGACTGAAGCGCGTTGGTGGAAAGTTTTTCAAGCACCGAAAACCATTTTTGAATTTTTTTCCTTCTTAGTTGCTCTTACGCAGCAAAGATGGGCCCTATGCCATAGGAGAGATTGGTCAGATGAACAGCTTACTATTCGAGTAACCGGCCGCTCCAGGAATCTAGCGAACTGCCAGCGATGGAAAAACAATCAAGGATGTCAGTATTGCTAGGAGTAGGAAGAGCCGAGGACAATTTTAAAAGCTACAGCAGAGTGCATGGCGTATCCTAATATGCGTTTTCACTATCGAATGTTCCATCGTTTTCCTTGGTTGCAGTCACTTCTACTAGGAAGGACTAGAACGCGCAGACCTAGCGCTAAACTTTCGAGGAAATTATTCAGAACCGAGCCCATCTTCTTTTTTTTGTTCAACCCTCCTCTTGAAGAGGGTGAAGAGAGAAGCGCGATAGAGGCACAAGGTACGTTCGGCTGTGCCCACACGACCACACCGCTCACCACGGCATAACTCACTAAACATACACCCAAGTAGCACTTCGATTATGACCCGTACCTGAATGCCTGGTGTCTGATTAAAGTAGGTGCCATCGGTGTGCGGTCCAATGGTCTCGTTACCGTACGCTGTGTCTTCATGGTACTCTTCCTAAAAACACTGGAATAAAAGGTGCTAAGCAGATTCACTACAAGCCAAACTGACTCCTTTCTCCTGCGCCTGGTTGCTGAACACCCAGAATGCACCAAAGAAGGTGTCATGAATTGGCGCAACCCGACGACAAAGTTCTTCTGTGGCTTGGGCATTGGCGTCTACGCCGTCGATCATTACCATACCGTACTTAACAAACGATTCTGCCACGAATTTCATATTGAATTCTGATCTGAAATAGAAGCCTCTCTTCAAAGGAGTTCCCACTTCCAGACATTCCGACAGCTGCTTGTTTCCGTTTTTCTTCCGGGAAGCCTTTTGTTTGTATTTGTGGAAAAGAGTCAAACCCTGACAAAAGATCAGTTTATGTTAGACGGCTTTTCGTAGTCACTTTTGCACTTTGCTGTCAGCACGTATTCTCGTCAATATCGTCTTCACAACACGTTACGGTAACGAAAATTCCCCCTCCCCAACCTTTCATTGTTGCCTCAGCTACGATCCTTTTCTTCTAAAAAATTCAACTTCAACTTCAATGACCTTTTTACCTGTAACTTCTCCAAGCTGCGATCAAACAGGGTGGGGCGCTGGCTACGCGGCTAACAATAAGCTACCACACTATCGAAGACTGTGAACCCCCTTCGATTTCTGGAATTCTTCCACACTTTCACATTAGTGCACTAGCGTAGCGCCGCTCATAATGAAAAAGGTGCAGGGGTCAAACTTCGGGTCGATTTTCTTTTCTCAGCAATCCAAACGCGATCTCTCCCTTTCAGCGCCTCCCTTGACCCTTTTACTAGGAACTTTCTCAAGCGTGCTGTGAGATAATCAGCAGGGCGGATGAAGCGTAGTGGCGTGGTGCTTGTTATCACGAGAACAGCCCACGAAGCAAGCCCCGTCCTAGCCACCTGTAC